AGTACCGGGATACTATAGCACCTCCGCGGGTAAAAGAGATGGAAAAACAAAAGAGCACAAGTGCCGCTCTCACTGTAACCGTTGTCAACGGTAGGGTACCGTGGTATCAGCGTTCGTGGCGGAGCTGGCTAGTTAGCCATGCCTGCATATGTATGATATGGTAGCGGGTTATTCTTCGAAACGTAGTTAATGCGATACCGGTACTTTGCAATGCAATGGCTGAGCAGGTTTCGGTGGTTTCTCTGCGCTTCGTTTGCGCGCGGGAGGGAGTCGTGGGGGGTGAAACTGCTTCGCCCGGTTCTCGTCTTGTACCGGTAGGGTTAGGAGGAGGTATCGCACCTGGCTCGTATGATGCTATCATATCATAACATCGGCTCTCCGAGGCATTGAGGTATCATAGTTGGAAAATAATTTGCCCGTCTTGCCCTTGCCCCCGAGGCTTCAGCCCGATAAAACCCGTTTTCCGGCGATGTGGAGATCTCGCTGTAAGCTTCGTTGCGGTTTCCACAATGTCGGAGGCGTTTATTGTGACACAGTCTTCGCTCGCTTTAATTTGTTGCCCGGGAATACCCTGTTGACGCTGGGCCGTGGGTGTTATCGCAGGAAGGATCTGATTAGATGGGCCCCTGGTGAGTTACACAGCAAGGTGAGTACCGTATCGTGCCGGTAGTTGGACTCTGTCGTCCGATGATGCGTGAGTGTTGTATGGTCTGCCACAGGAAGACTACAAGTATGATACTCGAGTACCGGATTACCGTATGTACAAGTACTCGAGTACGGTACAGTACGGTGCCAGGGGTAACTCCATGCCGAGAAGGGAGCGGGGTCATCTACGCCCCACACCATAAGTTAACCTTCAGCCACTATATCCTCAATCATAAAACACCCCTCTCCAAGAAACAACTTCACCATCGTCAACCCACATTACTTGTATTCACCGCACCACAAACCAAATCGGATCGAATCCACAATCTCACCTTCCCACCCTGGCCCAACGCGGGATTAACTTATCATCCTCATTACCGTCACCCACCACGCTTATTTCTTTTAATCTAAGGATTGTTTGACAAGCAGCGGCGGTGGAGCAAGCTTAATTCGGGGGTGATGCGGTACGACCGTCAGAATCTGTTCGTAATCACGGCGAGTTTATTACGGCTGTGCTGACGGTGGATGGTATGCATTGACATAAGCAACGCTGGCGGACAACGGCAATGGTTGAATGTGGTCCACGATCGAGTTCGGGTCCCGCGTTCCCTCGTTTCCCAGACCGGAACCTGCAAGCATACATAATTTCCCTGTATGTCGCTGTACACCGTCATTCATATCGCATCGCGCAGCAGGTAAGCGGGGGAGTGTATCCGCAGAGCGAATGACATAAAAACGAGATGAAATAATTTGTGGTTCCTGGTTCATCTCGTCTCTGTGAAGGAGAGGAAGAAAGGGCTGTGGCTTCTCGGCGGGGCATATTCTCCGGCGGTTACAACTGAGTAAGATCCGCTAACCTGGGATCGTGGTCTCAAGCTTTTTATTTTTGCTTTTTATCCATCGATTTGAGCTGTGATGGGTCTGTGGTGGTGGTGGTGGCGGTGGTGGTGTTTGAAGAATCGAGAGCGGGGGGGGAAGAAGAAAGTAGGGTGGTTGTCTAATTCGGCTCAAGTACTGGTAGCATACAGGACTGTGCTATCCTCGTCGGATTAGGCTAAAAATTCCTCAAGTGGGTCCACCTGCGTCGGAGGGGGTTCGGCATGCCGGTCACCACGCGAGTCCGAATACGGTAATATTTCTTTCTTTTTTCCTACTGTATCATAGTTCACCTTGGCCTTGGCTCGGCCTCGGCGCCATCCTGCTTCACAAGTGCTGCCCTGATAGTCTAAATTTACGAGGAATTACCATTCTCTGGTGAGTTGCTTTTTGGGAGGGGGGGGGGGGGTGCTTGGGTAGGAATGGGTACTTGTAGGTAAGAAATTAAGAATTCGGTGATTCTTTATGATTCACCCTCACCCTTCCTCCACTTGGCTACCTGTACGGTACCGTAGTAAGGTTCGGGGGAGGAGTTGATTACTGATCTAACTTTATCATACAGTTCGAGTAGTTCCCCCCACCCCCAGTATCCAACTTATCTGTAATACGCTATGCCATCCTTCGTCCTGCATTGACATTGTGTGAGGCTTGGGCACGGTACTCGGGTACCGGTATGGCACGGTAGGTTTTTGGCTCTCAACGGCCGTTCTTAACGGGGGATGCTTTGGTTCAAGGTGGATGTCTTCTTTTTTTCTTTCTCTCTCTTCGTTTGGCGGACGGACATTATTGGAGTCTCGATCGCATATTGTTAGGGTTGTCCTGCTCTTGAGCAATAACACTGCTGTACTATGCATTCTGTATGGGATAGAGTCTCTATAAGGCGTTTCGCATTTTGCATTTTGGGTGTCTTTTTTTTTTCATTTTTTTTTTTCCGCCTGGCATGTTTATGTACGGTATCATACGCTTGCCCGGCCTGGGCCGAATGGAGAAAGGGAGGGAAGAGTGCCTACATCGGGAGTCATGTATACAGCACGGTAATATAGGTATGATACGCCTGATCTATGAGGTGTTGGCCATGTGGATCTGTATCTCATTGGAAGAGTGCTATGGCAGCACTTCTGAGAGTTAGGGTTCGAGTGCATAAGTCCTCGAGCACAGTACGGTACCGGTAACCCTACTCGGCATTGGACTCAAACGAACAAACCCTGTCCGCGATACATGTCTCAATAATTGGGGGGACAGGGGCGGGGATGCAACAATCTTCTTGCTGGTGGGTTCTTGCTCTTTCCTGTGGGTGTGGGTTTGCGCTTGAACATCATCCACCGGCGATTAGACGTTCTTCTCCACGCTAACTCCGAGCGCTCCGACTCCCCGACCCTCCCCCCATCGGTCAACAACGAAGGGGAAAAATAGAATAATAAGAAAGGAAGGTCCAGCAACAACAACAATTTGTAAAGAGAGCCCCGATTTAATAAGCAGGGCTGAAATTGACTCAGCGCAGTTCCAAGTCGCCTCCTATCATTACCATCGCTGCCAACTTGGTTAGCTTTCCCCCTTCACTCTCACTCTTTCCTTCTTCCGGGCTCAGCTTACGCCCTCTTTACCAGAAAATTTAAAATAAATTGAGTGTTGTTCTACTCTGTTTGTGTAACCACGTCTCTTTTTTTTCCCTCTCTTCGAACCAGCCGAGCTATCCGTTCTTGGACAGCTTGTGGTTGCGAACACAGTAGCCCCCACTCGGGCTATACATGATCTAACTCTTTTTCTTTTCTTTTCTTATTCTTCCTTTCTTTCTGGCCGGTAGGGTTGGGGTGGGAGCGGGGGGGGTATGGTAAGGTGGTGGGTCGTGGATGGCGGATCGCGCATGGCTGGTGGGACATGGAATTTTTAGGGTGAGGAAACGGATTTTGGGCCAAACTTGTCGGAAACCTGCCAGTTGCATTCCAACGGACCGTATCCTTCTTGCCTCCTCCCTCCCCTCTTTTCCATATTCTGTCACTGGCATTTTCAGACTTGTCGTGGTGAGGAAGGTGTGTACCGTATTTGTGTGTGTGTGTGTGGTCACTGCCACACAGGCTTCAGAAATGTCAGACGGATTTACTTGTAAAGCCATCTCCTCGTAGTACCGTACAGTACTGGCAGTGGAGGTCTTGGTGCTGGTGGTGAGAACCCGCCGTATTGGAGTGCGTCATAGCACTTATTCTTATGGTTCTTCCACTGTCTTAACTTATTATCTTACGCTTCTTTGCCCCCCCCCTTCTCAGTTACGGGCTCACCTACCGTACCGTACTCTCTTCGTCCATGCGGGAAATTGGCTCAAGGGGTTGTTTGAGTGTTACGGTAGTCTACCGTTATTGTGTAGAGAAAAAAACGCAGCACAAAAGGAATTCGTCTTGGGTGTCTCAAAAGTTAGGGTCACTCTCTTGTATTATTGTTATTTTTTTTGTGGGGTACGGTAATATGGCTGTGCACGGTAGGGGTTGCTCTCCTCCCTCTCTGCCACTACTAATGCTACTGTTTGGATATATATAAGAGACAGTCGTTCCCGTCTATCCCATTTCAGGTTTCTGTCTTTTTTCTCTCTTTCTTGATCTGTTTGAGAGAGACAAGAAGGGAAGGGAAAAAGGAAGCCACCAGCAAGATACACTCCATTCAGGCCAGGACGCGGGAGAGCTAGGATCGACGGTCTGCTAGATTGGACTGGCCCGGGCTTTCGGTACTGCCTGTATACACACAGGACGGGGAGCCACCATTCTTCTCTCGAGCGCCGTACCGGTATCCACTTTCGGCTGCAAGCCAGCTGGGAATTCATTCGATAGGTCGTTGGGGAACAAGGACAGCAAGAATCGCCCTCTCTCTCTCGCAGGAACGAACTCGAGCTGGAAGTCACGCTTTCCTACCCCGCCGCACCCCATCACCAGTCCCAGCAATAACCTTTCTTCTTCTTTTATTCCATTTCATTTTATAATCCCCGTCCCGTGGAGGGGGGAGATGGGAAAAAAATAAATAAGAAATAGTTCCGAGATCGATACATTCCGGCATACGGTACTGTCCACTTACGGTGCCGTGTTGGACCCTTGGAGGCATATAGATCACGAATACGAAGAGTGGAGGCAAAGAGACGGCATTCGGGACCATCTTACCCCCATTAAACGGAGGATTACGACGACCCGAAAAAATAAAAAATAAAAAGCTTCCAGCGGATTCCTCACAAATCATATCAACCGTCCATACACACACGCTCCTGCGTTCAATCATTCATTCACTCACACTCACTCACTTATCCTCCTCTCACCCACTCACCCACACACCACTTGGGGGGCTGGGCGCAGAATAAGAATAAGAATAAATAAATAAAATAAATAAAAGTGTTTGAACTTGATCCCCTACTCTATCCTTTCCTCTCTTGCTTATACACCTCTATCCCCCCTCTCCCCTTTTCATCCAACCATTTCCTGCTTTTTTTATCATAAAAAGGCATGGACAGTTCTCTTAGTGCGCAAGCGGCCCTCCGCCCGTTTGTGCAAACCTTCATTCCAACTACCCGGGAGCAACGAGACCGCATCATGTCCACCGGCAATAGCATTCATCCGAATCCCGTGCACCCACAGTACTTACAGCCTCGGCAGCAACATACAAGTTTCCCCGGGTCCCCACATCACTCGGGTCATCAGAGCGGCGGAACATCACCCTACGGTTCCTCATTTCCCATGAACACTATGAATCCGAACCTCCCGACGCCAACCTCTTATGCCCAGGGTCTGCCCTCTAGGGCCTCCTCACATCCCGCTCCTAGCTCCAATTCTCAGCAACAGCAACAACAACAACAACAGCAGAGCCCGCAGCAGGGTGGATACCTCGACCCCGCTGCCTATCTTAATATGGGGGAGGTGATGGGTATGGACATGGACCCGATCCCCATGGGGAATAATATGGATATGGATTTAAGTATTCTTTCCGCAGAAGAACATGGAGATCTTAGGGTTTTGCAGGAACGGGGGAGGGGCCGGGACCGCTTGCATGCTCAGAGACTCCACTCAATGTCGCATCCGGATGGCCAGGATGGTGCCGGCCGGGGAAGGGGCGCTGTTGGCGGACGGAGGAAGCGTTCCGAGAGTGACGACAGCGTACACGAGCCCGTTGGCGTCGTCAGAGGGTCGAACACCGGTAACCGGAAGCAGAGGGGCAGACCACGGCTGGACACTAAAGATGAGAATGCTGCAGATGTAGGAACCCTCGCTGGTTATCACCACTCGTATAGCCCTCTTGCTAATGAGTTGCATAGCGTCGGCGAACCCAAATCAGACTTGCCCAGAGGGCCTATAGATTACGGAAGGAGACCACGATCTCCTCGCTGAGGAATAGGGTAACTGAATTGGAGACCGCCATTGATGGAATGCAGAGCACGTTCCTGGAGCTCCACGAGTCGGCCATGAAGTGCTTGAGCAAGAGCAACGATGCCCAAACCCTTGGCTACGGAACAAACCTCAAGGAACTTACCGAGAGGTTCTTGAGCTTGGCAAAGGGAGCCCTGGGCAGCTCCGAGGGAGCGGATTCCCATGACGATGAAGGCGAAGGTGAGAACAATGGCGAGGACAACTCCGCAAGGGCGAAGCGGCGGCGGAGTAGGGACGAAGACGGAGGCCCTGGCTCGGGGGGGATGCAGGCGAACGGCCCAAACGGAGTGGCCAGTTATGGGGGATACGAAGTCAGTTACACCAGACAGAACAACTCACGAGATTCCTTCAATAATAACAATGGCAGTCAAAGTCGGAGTAGCGGGAACGGGAACGGGAACGGAAGGAGTGATGCTACGATGGGTCATATGGACTCGTCTCCAACGCCGAACCCTTACAGCGATGCATATATCTCTAGTTCCCCGGAGAGCGGATATGCCAACTACGTCCAGCCTAACAACAACCCTTTACAAGCGGCTGCTCAGTTCCGCCAGGAGGGGCCACTGGCTTACGAGGGATTCTCGTATTCATTTCACGAGACCAACTTCTCCCGAAGGCTGCACCGCGCTGCGCTTGAGCACGCCCATTTCATGCTCACATCACCTAACGCCGACCCACAAGAGGTTGCGCGCATGTTTGCATACACGTTCTGCTACCTTTCCAAAGCCGATGTTATCCGGGTCGTCAACCGGCTCCTTAACACAACCACCAAGGAAAGCCTGAATATCCGAGACTACCCAGAGATCCTGCCCAAAAGCGTCCGCCCGGAGGTTATGGAAGCCTACCTCTCTAACTCGGACACGTCGGTATTCACCGACGGCCTAGCGGGTGAGGATATGAAAGACTTTGACCTCCGCCTGGAAGCCAAAAAGACGATGCTAAAAATGGGCATCGACCAAAAGTTCCTACGCCCCGACGAAGTGGAAAAGTACATTATGGAGCTGGGAATATTGACCTCCAACCGGCAACAACAACAATCTCACCTCATTGACCCAAGCCTCGTGGAAACCAGTAAACCCCGTTCCTCCCCCCAACAGCTGCTGAAACAAACCCCAGAAGTACCGGAAGGTTCAACGGACTACCTGACGGCAAACAGGATGGCCACGCCCTCCTACCTCATCCACCCCGTTGCCACCCCCTCACCCTCTCCCACCCCCTCACCCCCGGCAAATGCTAGAGAATCCCGGTCCCCATCGTCCTCCCCACACCTGACCATGGAGAAGAAACTTCGCCTCTTTGACACGCACTCCCCGCCCACTGCCCGCGACGAACTGGACACACCAACCTCCACCAACGTCCTCGAAGGGGTGAAAAAGAACATTGACATAGACGTGTTTGTGAACCGTATGTGCTCCCCCGCCCGCACCCACACCAAGGTTGCTGCAGGTGCAAGCAATATTACGTTCCCGATGCCCGGGACGGCTAGAAGAGAGTTCCTGACGTGTTGGTGATTTATGGCAGAGCTGGTCAAGAAGGGGGTATGTCTGGGCAGGTTTCCGGGGTTCAGGAAGAGTGATGTTGAGGAGGCTATTAGGGCTGCTTGGTTGGGCATGGGGGTTCACTGAAGGATGTGTTATTGTCTCTGTTCATTTTTTATTTTATTCCCTTTGTCGTTATTGTTGGCTTTTGTTGCGTTCTGGGGAAGGGAGTACGGCGTTGGCTCATGACATTAAAACATTCTCCCTATCATATTTCACTTCATTATTTCTGTCATCACTTTTCTCACTATTGTACCTTACCTTGCCTTACACTGCTATAGACGCATGGGTGGATGGACTGATGGAGGAATGCATACAACGAATGTGTAATACCACTTATCCCCACGAGTAGAATATTATCGATTACCGAGTGATACGTTATGACGAGAATCGATGTTACCCCGGAACACCGTTGCAATCCCCGTCGTGACTCGCAGCGCGCGCAGCGCAGCACAGCTCACGGAGCCCGGAACTCCAGAGCGTTTCGTGGGTGGCAGGCGATCGCAGCGGATGTTGGACGTTGCGGACTCCCTCGAGCTCTCAGCCCACCAGCATTCGATAGCCCCACCGAACCCCAAGGCCCAGAATCCACATCCTAATCCTTTCAAAGCGAGGCCTTCGGCGTAACCCCCCCCCCCCCAGCTAAGGGATAACGCCCAATCCCTAGGAGGGAAGAAAGGAAAAAAAGAAAAAGAAAAGAAGAGAAGAAGAGGGCAAGGTTCTGGAAGCCTTTTCTTAACTCCATTCGGTAAAATTTTATGAGAGCCCACTTTACTTGAGCATTCCCGGGCGTGGCTTGCGCCGTCGTGGTTGTCACCTCGGTGACGGGCGGCCGCGATACGATGATAATGTGCTCGAGTGCCCCTTGGCGCATCCGTTTTTGACGGTCGTCGCATCGCAACTTGCCGATTACCGGGTGCTTCCGCTCCTTTCTTTTTTTGGGCCCACTCGCGTTTGCATTCCGACCTTACTGTACTCGTACTCTACCGCACTGTTACTCGCGACTCTACCGGATGTCACTGCGCAGCCGCATTCGCAACGTCCTTATAACATTAACGTTTCCCGGAGCGACAGTCTTTCTTATTCTCTATTTCTTTTCTTTTGTTGTTGCTGTGGTGGGATGGATTGAGGTCTGTGGGTGTTGACTGTTTACGCCCGCGGTACGGTATCGTCGTACCGTACTGTATCTGGGGGAATATATCTGATTCTGGTTGTGTGAATGGGGGTGGTCTTTGTTGGTGTATCATGCCTCGGGTAAGGGTACGGTACGGTGCGAGTATCATACTGTGGGTATGATATGCTTTACGGTATTGGGGTGCCTGGAGAGGGGACTGTATGTATCCTACCGTAGCCTTCCATGCCGTGGTGTTGTGTCGCGCCGAGGTTTATTTTTGGTGGCGGTGGCGGTGGCGGTGCTTGTTTGTGGGGGGTTGTGATAACCGGTAGATTACGGTTGGTAATCGTCGCTGCGGTTTCCCGGATGGGGTGAGTGATGGAGTGTGATGTGGGTTTTATTACTGGTCGTGTTTGATCGTGCGCGGTTGTGCCGGTGTGTGCCGGTGGGGTGTATATATATATAGGTATTTGGTGCTGCTGTGCTTTATTTTGTTTTGTTTTGTTTTCTTTTCTTTTCTTTTTGGTGGTGGGTTGGGTAACTTTGTGCATGAGCATTCCAGAACGGACGAAAATTCCCCGGTTGTGGATTTGCGTGTATGGGTTATTTAGCCACCGGAGTGCAAGTACAGTAGTGGGTTAGTATGGTGTGGTGGGGGAGAGAGAGGAAGAAGGAGGGTGTGGAGCTGCGGGGTTGGATCACCTGTCGGGCGACCGGACGATGGTGGAGAAGATGTCGCTCACTGGTGGATATTGGTAGACCGGGAGGCCACAAACCGTACAGTTACGCTGGGGGATCGACGTGATGCGTGCGGGGGCTGGGATGCCGGCACTAATGGGGACTTGTCTGGGGTGCTTGGACCGTCGCGAACGTGAGCACCCCAGCCGGCGCCCAAATTCTGGTGCGCCATATCGTGCTGACTTGTATCATTACTATCATAGTGTAAAGCGGACAGCACCGCCTTAGTTCCTTGGCCCACAGCATTCTATATATAGCCAATTCCAATCGGAATTCCCATCACGATGTCATCGCATCTACTGGCAAGACGCAGAATCCGGGAAAGACTGTTTCTATCTATCGGGGTTTCTTGCGAGATGATTTGGTCTTCTCACTCGGGTCCCGAGGGGCCTTATTCTCTCTCCCTTGGCTACGCATGGCTCAGGATTCTGGCGGCTGGCTCGCTGGAGGGGGTGAATTAATGTTTGATGTACGCGTGGGCATTGGAAAGTTGCCGTGTGTTTCTTTCTATCCGCTCGCCGTTGGGATTTTAATGCCGTGTTGGGGGGGGTGGGATGGGTGACTGGAGAGCTTTTCCACGTTCTGGACGAGGATTTAAATCCGGGATCTCTTCTGCATAGGCGGGTATTCCCGCCGGATGTGTGGGGTGGGGAAGGGGGTGTCCGGCTGGTCTATTGTGAATATTGAATATCGTACTGTGGATTTATAAGAGAAGTAGTGGGGTGTGATGATGTGTTTAGTGCTGGTTCCGAGAATCTTTGCCTATTCTTGAGTACTGTACTGTCGGTTACGTGGATAGCCTACCGGTACAGGTGTATTATTATGGGGCGGATTGCGCCGACTGCTTTAGTGACGCGGCTGTGCCGACAATCGACAAGGAAGAGCACTCTGCCCAACACCCCACCGTAGGGGTTTACCGGAGGAACTATCCTGCATCGCACCTCGGCCCCCCTCAATTACGATGACCGTAATAATCCCCCGCTTTCTGGGGCGAGTGCATTGTTCCCTCGTCTCTGCTCCTCTTGCCAGGACGCCGTGACAGAATTTTGCAAAATCCTTGGCCTGATGATCCTGCTTAATTAGGGTTGGAGGTTTATCCGTTGATACTTACTCGCTTTCTTGATTCTCGACTCCTGAAGACCTTTCGTTCGGGCTGCCTTCTCGCTTTCTGTTGGGGTCTAATTCGCTAACACATGATTTCCTGTTTCTTCTTCTTCGATAGTATCGTAAACAGCTCGCCCATGCATCTCCCCCCCCCCCTGGTCCTGTCGTTCACTGCTTTGGCGGTCCGGATACTCCATCCTCCCGATATCTTAATAATTTTTACTTCCCCGGAGACGTAAACTACTGTGATAAATTCTCTGTCGGGGAGTCTTACTCCAATGTGGCGGGAAGTGTAGGCATGTCTGCACATGCACTATGCAGCCAGGGGCATCACGATATGGAAAATGACAAGAGCCATCTTGGTGCATATGGATGGGGCTCATTGGTATAGATAGGGTGTGGACTTGGATGCAAGTATCAGGAGGGGCAAGGCGAAGTCTCTCAATCTAGCCTTCTGTCCGTGCGGTTCCGCATATATCTCGGGGCCGTATTTCATCCACTCATACTGGCCCTCTCTGTGCCACTTTGGAATTTTTGGGCTGTTGGCGTTGTGAGTGATCGTTCGTGAAGATGAGTAATAAATATCTGGAGAGGAGGGAGGGATGTGGTACGGTAGCCGGAGACCCCGGATACCACGTTTGCTGGGCGATCAATGGGGAATGTGTGGTTGCCTTTGGCGGCGCTGGTGGTTGGTCGCCAGGATTGTGGGCCTGGGCACTCGTGGGGATTTATTTCTGACCAGAGTGTCCATAATGCATGTCCTATTTTGTGTGACCGAGGGCATTTCATGTCCGGAAGCTTCGGCAGGTCGATTGGAGTGGCTTCTCTCCTAAGGGTCGGAGCTGGGCGACGTAGGTATGAAGATTCTATCGTTATCGGAAAGGCTGATCGATTTCCCGCTACTTTATTATAATTATTAAAACAAAAGGAAAGAGAAGCCCCTGTATATTTACAGCTGGAAGTTTTTTTTATTTCATTTTATTCATCTTCCTTTCCGAATTCCCTTCGATCGCTGTACTTTCGGGAGATGGATTGTCTCGTGGTGTCCATTGGATATCGTAATGCGATCTTAAACTTTCCCGCTATCCCAATATCATCTTGCTCCGTCGGGTGACGAGGCCTAAAGGATGCGTATGACGGACCAACTGACAGTAGGCATGAGAAATGGCAAATCTCCTGAATTACGAGAAGGGAAAGAAGAGGTAAAAGAGTATTAGTTGACAATCTCCACTTCTGACCCTGAGGGCTGGGGAATGCACTACGGAAAGGAATGGGAAGGAAAGGAGGAATCCAAATTGGACTGCCCACTAAGGGGGGGGGGGGTCCCGGATACCTGAACATCACCAAGACGTCCTGACTGGATATGCTGGAAACTTTCATGTTAGTACCGGTGACTACAGTTAGTCTGAATCCAGTCACATTTGCGCTCCACAACTCCCTTACACGACCTTCCCTACCCCCATGGCTCACGGCAGTTTTTCAAGCATATCTTAGGGCTGCGGTAAATTGATAGGGTCTGCTATAGTATTATATCCCAACTTTTCGTTCTCACGATACGTGCTCGCCGGGGTCAATATTTAGCTCTGCTGATTGTGGCTACTCAGAGTTGTTTAGGCACTCCTGCACCTTTTTTGAAAAAGATTCCAATGGATAATAGTGAGAAATGTTAACCGGGAGCTGGCTGCTTGGTAGATTGGTTCCTGCTCCTCCGGCCTTATCAGCTCCGGGACCTGCCATCTGCTTTTCAATCAGATGTCTATTTTGTCTATTTATCCATCTCGATGCATAATCACCTCGCACTTCCGAAGGCTCCAAACCCGGACGGGGGCTGGGGGGGACCAAATTTTTAGGACCACATTTTATATCATGCCATTAAGCCATTAAATCGAACTCCATCTCGCCCAATTATCATACCTAGGGGGTTTGGAAATAAAGCAGGAGGGAAAGAAGAAAAAGCTCACCGGAGTAACGATCCTGAGCAATCATGTTATGAGGGTCCATAATCGGTATAGGAGAATTTCCCAGCAGGAATGGGGGTTTGGCGCGTTGGGATATAGTGGGCTATATCGAAGCACACACTGTTCAGGAAAGTATGCTACTATCCCGGTTTGAGGCCTCAGGGGATGAGGGA